TCTGGAATAAGTAACAAAATACTTCTGCAAAGTCTACCCTTGCCCTTAGCATGACAGTCCATTTACTGTTGTATCTTCATGGATTTTATGAGAAATTTAAAGGTCCTGGCTAAACAATAAGCTGGATAACTGATGCTTACAGGGGAAAGCTTTCACAAACATGCTTCATTGTTCTTTTTTCCTGGGTTTTGCCTGGATATGCTTTTAAGTTGTTTTTAATTCTATTGATAGTTGAACTTGTTTTCACACTTGTATGTTTTACTGCATCATTTAATTTTTGAATCCCAAGGGTTATAAAATGTAGGATAACAAGAGCAAATGAACAACTTCATAATCTAGGAGTATCTCTTATCGAAGCTAAGTGAACAAGTAAAAAACTAAGCAGGAGCTGACTGACAGACTACATGGAACTTCATGTAAACTGCTACAGTCTTTCAAATATCAGACTCAGGGCCAGTCCTACCATTAGATAGCCATTCAGGGTACAATAGGAAGCAGATTTTTGAGTGTCATAACTGAGCAGCAAAGCATTCAATATTTACTTTGGTCTAATCTGCACTGCAGACATACAGTGCTATGGAATTCAGGGATTTGTAGTTTGTTGTGGCACCAGAGCTCTCTGATATCACACAAAACTATGAATCTCAGAATTCCACATTGAACCACAACAGTTAAAATGGTGTCAAACTGCAGATTAGACCTTTGTCATTATAATATATTTAGTGCAAGGGGTGGGAAAAAGTGTTTATGGAATTGCGTACCAAAGTAACTTGGCTGGATATTTTGGATACTGTACACCTTAATTTGGGTGGGTGGAGTACTATTTGTTGTTCCACCTCAGCAAGAAAAATGTCCTCAGCTAGCCCTGTGCAGAATAGAATAGAAGTAGCATTTATATTTTAACTTAAAATAACTTAACTTGTTTTAAAACTGGCTTATACAATTGTTTCTAGATTGCTTTTAGAAGATCTTTTAAATGTGTTTTTAAAATGTTTTTATCTTTGTGTTGTTTTAATTGGTTTTTATTTGTTCATTACCTCAAGAGTCCTTATAGGCTGGGAGGCAATAAATAAATACATAAATTTCACTTTTGGAAAAGACATGTATCTACACTTAATACCGGGTCCATTGTGTTTTGTTTGTTTTTTAATTTTAATGCTGATATAGAGGATCTCTTCTAGACCTTCTGACAAAGTGAGATGGAACCCACATAAATATGTGGCACATAAAAATTTGCCCATGTAAAGTGTGTATTGTTCTGTGTTTGAATAGGTGTTGTTCTGTGTTAATGGCAT